CATATAACGTGGTTATAATTTTCTTAGCTTTTCCTTTGTAAAGAACTAAAATATAAATTAGATGGTGTATAATAAAAAGTAAAGACATTCTGAGAAGAGTTTTATCTTAGGATAATACATGTATATGCAGTGTGTGTTCCAGTGTGGTATTAACAAGACTAATAGTGCAATTTGATCCTTACCAATACCATTACTTAAGTTGAAGTGTCCCATAGCACCCAAAAGTGTACCCTTTTAATGTACTATTAAAGAAAATTGGCTTCTACTGCATGAACATTATTTACATGTACATTGAAAATAGTCCACAGTAGAACTGCTAGTTTAAGCCAAGTGTAGAAAGTACCTACCAACCTTTAAAAAAAAGAATTCTACTTTTTAAAAAGTTGACTTTGCCTTAAAAGGCAGATCTAACTAACCCAAGCTCAACCAAGTACCTAATCTGTGATGTTGCACCATTTGGTGAGATTCACCAAATTCTCACCAGTAGATTGGCATATGCTACTTTTTAAATGGCAGCGCTTTTTTACAAATGGCTACACTAGGGAAGAAAAACTGGCCACTTCTCATGTAAATATTTTATTAAAGATGTATAATTTCTCTCTAGGAGTTTTCTCAGTTCCCAGGACAGTGTGTCTAGGAACAGATTACCAACAAACTCTGCAAGATCTCTTTGACTTACCGAGGGAACTGTTAGCTCATTCTTGTGGGCTAAAAGGGAAGCTATGAATAGAGAGTCACATGAGCCAGATTCTCTACTTCACTGTTCACAGAATTCCAAGGTTAGTTGTGGGAAACCCTGACACCATGGTGAAAAAGCTCCTCTGTAAAATGAGATCAAAAGCAAATGTAGATTTTTCACATTGTGCTCATTAATAAATTTATGGAATGACTTTTTGATATAACTTCAGCCTTTTTTTTTTATATTTTGGTAAGGAATTCAGGTTTTCTTTCACTATAACATCTTTTTTTTTTTTTTTAACCAAGCGATTTTTTTTTTTTTTTTTTAACCAAGCGAATAAGTGTGCAGAACTGCTCTGGACAGTAGTAGGCATTTTAAAAGGTAGTTTTGGGGAATTTGCCAGTTTCCAAAGGGCAATAAAGAGACCATGCTCACTTAAAAGCACAACTTTATTAAGTGGGTACCACTATCTTTGGAAGGTCTTTTGTCTCTGATAAATATACTGCCTTTATTAATAACTGGTTTAAAAATCAGTACCAGATCTTGAAGGTAAATTATAATATTGTCCTACGCTTTATTAGGGAATTACCTAAGCAGAATAAAAATTTTTAAATTAAAATTTTGCTGTTTGGAGTTACAAAGAGATGATACAAATGAGCTTTGTCAAGTAGTTTTGTGAGATTAACAAGTGATTTGGTAGAGTTATTATTTAAAGTAACTTTGGTCTGAATTACACATTCTTTGGTACTTCTCAGTCCTGAAAGCTAATACCCTTCAGTCAATAAATAGGAATATGCATTATTTTAATTATGTAGAAATTGCCTGTTATTAAAGCCAGGTTGTTGGATTTTTTTAAATAAAAAAAAAATCTGTTTAGACAAATAACTTCCCTTCTGGGTTTACTTCAGTATACTTTTGGGAATTAATCTGGATATTTTCCTTTTATCAAGCCTAGGTATAAAGTTAGTCATTCTCAGTGAAAATGTTTTACTTTTATTATATAAATAACCCAGTCCTCTTTAATTCTTTATAAAATTCCATAAATAGTAATTTGATAACTTAAACATAGTAATTCATAGACATGTTTATGAGATATATTGTTTTAAAACAACTTGATTTCTATTCATCAGATACACGGGGTGAAGGGAAGCCTATAAACGTGGTGGCTGTTTTCAAGAGCAGGAGGTTAACTATCTTCCCAAGAAATAAAAACAACAGAACTTTATGGTTTATATCCTTCTAAATAAGCTTTATTTTAAACGTAGAAATTATGCCCAGAAGTAACATCAGGCACCACATGGTGGCAGTAGCAGACTGAGGCTCACCACCCAGGACCTTAAGTGAGTCTCATAATGATGAACAAGTGAAATTGTTAGAAACTACACTACAGGGTAAATAGGAACTAGAGAGAAGCAATTGTGACTAAGGAGATAGGTGACTAGTCAAGCCTACTGTAACTCTTATTATTTGAGGGACATAGCTCCAAATGGTCCTCACAGTAATTAAGAAAATATCTAGTAAGAAAATAACATCTTTATATAATAAACTGTTAGAAATGGTAAATGTAAAGTTGTGCGTGTGTGCGGCTTTTGAGCTTGGAAGATGATGAGTATGGACTGGACCCTGCCTGATACAGAACATGCACAAAACAAACTCTGGGTACTTAAAACTGATTTCCAAGGCTGATTTCCAGGGCTGTAAATCTTAATGGAAGCAGACTGCCACACTGTTTTCCTGCAAAGCAGCTGGCAGATTCAAACTGTCAACCTTCTGGTTAATAGAGTATGTGATTGCTGCACCACCTGGGCTCCTAGAACTGACTTCCTTTAAAATTCAGAATAAATGGTGACAACAGTAGTATTAAGTAAAAAAAGGCAGTCCAGCAAATACTGTACCAAAAGTACAAAATGCAGTTCATCTTCTCAAACCATTAAAGAATATATAATCCAGGGTGGATTTTTTTTTTCACCTCTTGCTCTTGACAAGTGCTGCTTTCCAGATGTCTAAGAAAAATGGATCCCTTCTGCATTGAATCCATGTAGCAATCTGAAAAAAACAAATTGAGATAGCATTAAAAGACCATCACATAACATTATGTAGTTCCTACCCAGCGATTTCTAACACAGGACTATGTTACTGAATTCATGAAGCTGCCTCTTCCTGACACTAACCACTTAAAGAAACTTTACTTCCCAAATTAATTTCTTAAGATACACAGTAACTAAATAAAGCCACCTATGTTAGTGCTTCTGTTACCCGAACCCATATATATGAAGCTGAATCAAAAAAGAATCTGACTCAAATTATTTTAGACTTAGTCTGACTTTGAACTCTTTCCACTTCAGTGTGCTACCTAAACAAAAAACTGCTTGGATTTTAGAGGCAAATCAGTGGCCTAATCATCTGTATACTCACTCTGTTCAACTTCCTGCTTCCCTGTGTGGCTACCTAAATATAAGATTGTAGGTGGTAAACTGCATATTGCAATTACAAAAAAACATTATGTATAATATCTATTTAACAACTGGCTGTTTTCCAACTCAGGGTGGGGGGACGACCCAGATCCAACTACAGGTTAGGAAAGTGTCATTCTACCTTACAAGCTATTTTGAAAAAAAAATTATTAAGGTTATGATTGAGATGGGGATGTAGAGAAGAGAGGACACACAACACACTGACACAAAGGCTATTTTCTGGCTCTGACTGTTCTCTACTACTATTCTTTAAAAAAAAAAAAGTTCATTCTGCTGCAGCTAACTAGCTTCCATCTTCTACACCAAATACTATTCCATACCATGGAAGTGCTATGCAATAACTCCCAGGTAGCACCTTATACCACTCGAAAGCCTTTAAATCTCTTCATCTGAAGGTGTCATGATAAAGAAATGTTAACACTTAAAATGTAATTACCTAATGAAGTCATCTATGTCCATGGAACGGGCCCGTTTATCACTAAAGCCTGTGTTGGTTAGGATTTGCTGTATTTTATCTGCTATGCTGAAATCTTCTGGTATTACCTATCAGTATAAAATCAGAAATAAACAACATATCTTTAAAGAAGTCAACCTGACTTTTATTTTTTTTAAACTCAGTAAATTGTAACTGTTAATACTCTATTCATAACAGGGTGGAAACCCTGATTATGCAGACAAAGTTAAATAACTAACTAAAAAATCTTTACCACACAATACTTACTCGCATCAGATATAACTGCTAAAGTCCCAAAATAGCTACTGGTTTCAGAACATAAAAGCTGTATATTATAAAGCAGTTAATTCCTTTTCAAATAATATTTCTGGCACAGATTTCAACTTGACAAAAAATTTTGCTTAACTTGTTCAACCCTTAAGAATATTAAGTCTTTTCTACTCAGAATTTTTCATCCAAAGATTTTTCTTAGTTTAATATTTTCATACTTAGATGTCTAATGACTACATAAAAGAGAAAAAATAGCAGTGTGCCACACTAAAAGGAGTAAAAAATACAAAAGGAAATTTGTTTTTATACTAGGTTAATGTTTTAAGTTAGTGAAAATAGGTATGTGTACAGGTAATGTCAAAGAAAGGCTCACAATAAGAAATTGGATAATGAGCCTATAATTTAACTATTTCCATTTCTGAGTAGAAAAATGTTACAAAAAGCAAATATCCATTGCTACTCAACTGATTCCTACTCCTGGTGACACTGAGTATAGAACTGTTTTGTGGGGGGGTTCTTGGTAGCTCTGTGGGAGAAAGACAGGCAGTCTTCTCCTGTGTGATTAATTGCATCTGAAAACCTGCTGGAGGATCAGCTCCAACTCAACAATCCAGAAAAGCCAGCCTTCCCACAGAGCCACTGGGTAGGTCCAAATCACAAACCTTTTAGGTTAGTAGTGGCACAAGTAGTTGCACAATCTAATACAATGCAAATGAGAGCAATGAACTAGACCCAAGAATGGATTGGTCACAAGTCAAAGGACAGGTGATGTAGACAATTATATAAAGCCTTGTGAAACTACAAAGACCTGAAGCTTTGAGAAAGTTATGATTAGGTCCAATCAGATTCTTGGCTAAAAATTGCCAGTGGTAGTTTAAAGAAGGGATGATCTGTTCAGATCTATTCAAAGTGTTAGGAGTAGCATTGATCTAGTAGAATTTTTAAAGTTGTATCATCTTAGGAAACCCTAGTGGAATAGTCCCTAGCTGCACAGCTAATACAAAGGTGGTAGTTGTTGATTGCCTTCGAGTCAAGCATGAATCACAGCAACCCTATGAACAAAAGGCCTGAAGCCCCTCTACAACTATTAACATTTCTCAAAGTTCATAGTGTTTCTGGAGGCAAGTTGTTTAGGAAGTGGATGCCACTCCTGCTTTCAAACCTGTCATACAATGTTATTGGCTGAGTCGCCTGCTATGCCTAGCAACTCTATGTACAACAGCTCTAAACCCTGCCCTCTCCTGAGCCAGTCTCACTAATTGTGACACACCAACCCCCATCACCCCAGTTACTATATCAGTCCATCTCATCTAGGGTCTCCCTCTCCTGTGCTGTCCGTCCACCCTACTGAGCCTGACATCCTTTTCCAAGGACCCTTCTCTCCTGGCCACGTGCCCAAAGTAAGTGAGGCAGAGCTTCAAATTCCTAGTAGCACCTAATGATTCTAATCCACTAGCAGCTCTATGGCAGAAAGATGAGCAGCCTCTTTAGCAGCATATCACCTAAAAACTCTGAGGTCAGCTGTAAGTTCTGAGTCAAGGGCAATCGTTTTTCTGCATTGGTATTGTTGTGTATCACAGAATCAGAACTGACTCACAGCTGACCCTCCAGCGTGTTTTCAGAGGCAGTTAATCACAAAGGAGGAGAATGTCTATTCTGCTACCGTGGAGTTTGTATTATGCAGCCAAAAATTCAAGCTAGATTCAGAAGAGGCTGTGGAACAAGGGATATCCCTGATGTCACATGGATCTCTGCTGAAAGCAGAAGATACCAGAAGGATGTTTACTTGTTTTATGGATTATGGAAAAACATTTGACTAGAACATAACCAATTATGACTAATATTGAGAAACTTAATTCCAGAACATTTAATTATGCAAAATCTAGACATAGACCAAGACGCAGTTGTTTGAACAGGAGAAGGGGTTTAAAAATTATTAAAGGTATATGCATCAGAGTTGTACCATTCTCCATTTCCAAACTGTATGGTGAGAAAATCATTGGAAAAGCTAAATTATATGAAGAAGGTAGCATTATGATTGTATGAAAGCTTACCAACAGCCACTGTTATGCAAATGAGACAACCTTGCTTGCACAAAGTAAAGAAGACTTGAAGTACTTATTTAGGCTCAACAACAGGTTGTCAATGATTTCACTTTACTTGAATCGCCATTAATACCCATTGATAGCAGCCATATTGAATTGGGAAAATCTGCTGTCAAAAACCTCTTTAATGTGCTTAAGAACAAGGATGTTGGTTTAAATAAGAAGCTGTGCTTGATACAAGCCACAGTATTTTCAATTACTTCCTATGCATCTGAAAATTGGTAATGAATAAGGTTGACAGAAGAATCCATGCCTCTGAATTGTGTTACGGTATTAAAGATCTCATGACTGCCAAAAGAACAAATCATCTTGAAGGAAGAACAACCACAGTGTTCCTCAGTGGCAAAGACAGTGAAACTACTTCTCATACTTTGGGCATGTTATTAGGAGGGGACAGTCATTGGGAAAAGACACCATGCTGACAAAGGTCAGTGAAAGAGAAAGACCTTCAATGAGATGGACTGACCTAGTGAGTACAACAATGGCCATGGTGCAAACTGTGAGGATGGCTCCAGACAGGCAAAATGCAGATGTTTTGTTTGCTGGGTCAGTTTTAGTCAAGTCAAAGGCACCTAACAACATTGAATATGTAGGATATGTACAAATTAAGAATTCTGTAATGACTGAAAAGGAACACTGAAAAAGCAACACATCACTGAAACCACAAAAGCATTTCCTACTTACAATGTTATGGATTGAACAGTGAATTCTGTAGTTTTTTTCAAGCAGTTGTTGCACAGCACTTGACCTACAGTAAGGTAAAAATTAAGTTCATGCTCCATATTATGAAACAGTAACTCTTTATAAATTAATGAAACCAACATTAATGAAACATTTAGGATGTGAAGTCACACAAAACACCTAAGTCAAGTCATACTAAACACCTTAGACTGCAGAACATTGTCTGAAAAAAAAAGAAAACTCTTTAACCCCTGCAAAAATAAGATGCTTCTCTTTTTTTTTTCTGTACTCATAGAGCCCCTAAACTGTCGTGTAAAATTTTCCTTGTTTATAAAGGCATGCATGGATCTTTCACAGTGTGAAAGGGCTCCATTCATAACCCATTTTACTCAGGAAAAACAAGACATGCTCAAAGTTTGTTGTTTCTGCATTTTGAAAAAGAAACCTCTCCCAACACTATGAACTTTCTTACATAAATTAGTCTACCTCTCTTAAGTACCAAGTTAGTTTAAAAGGTGGAGTGTGTCTGGAAATGAGTGTTTGGTGTAAGGCAATGTTTTCTTTCAGGAAAAGGATCGAATTCTAGTACTTAGCAGCTTCAGTAGTGGAAGCCTTTCACATATGTATCAGTGAAATACTTACTTAAATGCAGCAGACAGTGTCTTGTTTTTCCTAACAAAGGTGATTCTTACGAGGCCATCCCATTCCTGAAACAGATGACAGGTATCTTCTTTATTGGAAAAGATCAAATTTCTTGTCTCTCTTTACTTACTAACTCATGGTCATCAAACTGGAACCAACTCCTAGCTGGATCACTAATGGATTTTCAGAAGCTATAAAGCACAAAAGGAGAGTGCTCATCTTTTTCCCACAGAACAGCGAGTGGATTTGAACCATTAGCCTTTTGAGTTGGCAGTGCAACTGCATCCACTAGGCCACCAGAGCTCACTCTTGTCTTTATTGTTATGTACCATCAAGTTGCCTGCAACTCATAGTGTCCCTATGTACAAGAGCTCTGAAACCCGTCCTGTCCTGAGCCAGTCTCACTGACTATGACACTACTTCCATTGCCCCAGTTACTCTATCAATCCATCTTATCTGAGGTCTTCCTCTCCTGCACTGTCCCTCCACTCTTCTGAGCATGATGTCCTTTTCCAAGGATCGATCCCTCTTGGCTACATGCCCAAAGTATGTGAGCTGAAGCTTCAAAATCCTAGCCTCTAAGGAGAAACTTTGTTTTACCCTTTCCAAGATAGACCTATTTATTTTCTTGGTGGTCCATGGTATGTTCAAGACTCTTCTCCAGCACCACACTGTTGTGGTAGTGTTTCTGTCTTTCAATACATAAAACTGAAGGGAATCTTCTAGAGTGATGAAAATATATACCACAAAAATATACCACAAAAATAAGCGTTTTCATCTGGCTGGCACAGAGTTTTGCACTTTTCTGTCTCTTACGGATTATTTTCTCCTTAATATAAAAAAAAAAAAAATTGTTCCACCATCTTAACAGACAACATGACTTTTCTTTCATCATCAGTATAATTTTCTAAAGGCGCTCTGGTGGCTCAGTGGCTAAAGCACTCACCATAGAATCAAAAGATCAGTGCATTCATTGCACCACTCAGCCACTCCTCAGAAGTTTAGCAGTCTGGTTTAGTAGAAATTGTTGTTTTGTACTGTTGAGTTAGAACCAACTCATAACCGACCCCCTAGTAGGTTTTCATTAGCAATAAATCACACTGCAGGGAACTGCTCATCCTTCTGTCTGTAAAGATTAAAATTTGGAAACCCTGTGGGTCAATTCTCCAGTGTCTATGGGGACCCTATTAGTTGTAACTTGCTCACTGACATGGATTTTTTAAATGATTCAAAACAAACATGATTTAAGATACAGCCTGCACAACCCACCTAAACCACCTCATTTACTCTCAGTCATGCTTTTCACCAGCCTAACTTTGCTGTGGTTTAAATCAACTGAACTGGATTTCTCTCTCTTTTGAATTGGCAAGAATTGTAGTTGTCAAAGATAGTCCATTTATCTTATATTCTTGTAAAGTCACATTAAAATAGCTCTTTTCCACAGCTATCATCTTGCTCAAAATGCAATCTACTATGTTTACACATTGTAAGGATTCTCCCATTGCCTTTTCAGATCGTTGAACTATCTTGCGTTAAATTATTCTACCTATTCCATTATAAGGGAGTTCTGGTGGCCTTGTGGCAAAGAGTTGTGCTGCCAACTCAAAGGCACACAGCTGGGAAAGATGGGCAGTCTCCTCCTGTGTGATTTACAGCCTCTACAAATCTGATGCAGATGACACAACCCTGCTTGCTGAAACTGAAGAGGACCTGAAGCGCCTGCTGCAGAGTGTCAAGGACTGCAGCCTACAATATGGATTGAGGCTCAATGTCAAGAAGACAAAGATTCTCACCACTGGACCAATTGGCAGCATCAGGATGGATGGTGAAGAGATTGAGATTGTACACAGCTATAGTTTACTTGGCTCCACAGTCAACACTCTTGGCACCAGCAGCCAGGAAATTAAAAGGCGCATTGCCATGGTAAAGCCTGCTGTTAGGGACCTCTCCAAAGTACTCAAGAGCAATGGTGTCTCTCTGGAGACTAAGGTGTGTCTGATACAGGCTATGGTCTTCGCAATCACTTGTTATGCATCAGAGAGTTGGACAATGACCAAGGAGGATAGAAGGAGAATTGATGCCTTTGAGCTGTGGTGCTGGAGAAGAGTACTGAGAATACCATGGACTGCTAGGAAAACAAACAGATTTGTCCTGGAAAGGGTTAAACCAGGTGGCTCCTTGGAGGCAAGGATTCTGAGGCTCCCTCTAACATACTTTGGACATGTTGTGAGGAGAGACTGGTCCTTAGAGAGGGATATCATGCTTGGGAAGGTGGAGGGACGGCGCAGGAGAGGAAGACCCTCTTTGAGGTGGACTGATTCAGTGACCGGGATAACTGGGATGGGAGTGTCAGAGACAGTGCGATTGGCACAGGACAGAGCGGAGTTTAGGGCTGTTGTACATACGGTCGCTATGAGTCGCAAGCGACTCGACAGCACATAACAACAACATAACAACATAAATCTGATGTAGGGTCAATTCTGAGACGATTCCGATTTAACAGCATATAACAAAAACAACTCCATTATAGGGATGCCCTACTCTGGTAACCCAAAGGTGGCACCACTTTGGTGTTGAATCCACCGGCAGTTACTCAGGAAAAATACGGGTAGCCTCCAGTGGGATTACAGCCTCCAATAACCCACTGGAGGGTCAGCTGAGTCAATTCCGACTTCACGGTAGAGCTGACTATAATTAACATTTTCCTATAGGTGAAATTTAGGTTGATTCAGTATTTTTATACTGCTATAAATACACACTGTCCAACCTGGATTTTTTTTAATTGAATGACCTGGAATTTTAACCTCACCTTAAAGTTGATTGGTGGTGGCGGGTTCTTAGGTTCAATCCTTACAACACTGGATTCTACCTTGGGTGGTGGTCTGAAGTTATTCTTCCCAACCTAAAAACCCAAAAAATTTCTAAGAAGTTTTTAAAGACATACTGAGTTAATAATCAAAGATATTCTCCCCACAAAAGGCATAGCAAAAAGTTCAAGGATGAATTAAGCCCGACTATTTCAATAATAAAATGACTTACTTTCATTAGATGGTCTACACGTGCTAAAAGCTGTGTATTAATTGAGAGTCTGCAGTATAACTTGTCCCCAGGTTTTGCAACCAGTCGGAGAGCAAATTCTCTTTGAAACATGAGGATAGCACATCTAAGAATAAAGCAGGGGAGGAAAAAAGGTTTATAACTTACAAGTTATCACTTATAACTATTAAACATATTTTAACATTAAAGAATTTCCTTTGAATAGAAAAAACAAAAAGCAGCTATTTGTAGTTAATGCCTGTGATTCAACGAATAGCTTTAGGAGAACACTTTCTGCTTTAGCTTTAGTTACTAGCACAAAATTAGTCAGCTGGATTTGTTTTCCGAGTGGCTGCACTCCTTACTCCATGGAAGTCAGCAAATATGAGCCCTCAATGATCAAAAGAGTATTTATTTCAGATCAGCACTTCTGGGAAAACAAAACCAAAACAGTATGGACTCAAGAGCAGAATCATGTACAGGGGTTAGGGGGTAACCATCCTTAGGAAAAAGCTGAGGCTGGAGAGGCAGGCTGTGCCATTCAGCATCTCCATGATTTAACAGATTAAAAAAATAAAGATTTATGAATTCATTCATTTAAATGAGGACATTTTTTGAAGTCTCTCTGAACAGTGAATTTTCAAAGGTAGGCTTTGCTTTTCCAAACTTTCTGACGATAAACCACACGGAAAAATGTATTTGACACTGCAATTCAGTTTACTAATCCCTGTGCAATTCAATGATGTCAATCTATAGACTAAGGTACGCCTGATCCAGGCCATGGTCTTTCCATTTACCTGCTATGCCATCAGAGAGCTAGACTGATTAAAGATGACAGAAGAATTGATGCCTTTTGAGTTGTGGTGCTGGGGAAGAGACTGAACATACCATGGACTGCCAAAAAAACAATAGGTCTTATCTTGAAGAGGGTAAAACCAGGTTTTTCCTTGGAGGCTAGGATTTTAAAGCTGTCTCACATACTTTGGGCATATGGCCAGGAGAGATCGGTCCTAAGAGAAGGACATCATGCTCGGAAGGGTGGAGGAACAGTGCAGAAAAGGAAGACCCCAGATGAGATGAATTAATACAGTAACTGGGAAAATGGGGATTGATGTGTCAGAATCAGTGAGACTGGCTCAAGACAGGACAGGGTTCAGAGCTGTTGTTGTACATGGGGTCGCTAAGAGTCACAGGCGACTCGACAGCACATAACAACTGGAACAAATTACTGAAAGTAATTACTCAACCACATGCAATGCCTTCTGACCTATTTAAATGAAAAAATATTATGACTCTTAAGTTGACTCTATGACTACAAAGGGGTGTTGAGTCTTTGAGTGGTACCAACAGTTAAGCCAAAGGACTTCTGGATTGAGCGAAGAGAGGCCTTTCAGAAGGCAGGCCTTGAAAGCCCCAGTGAGCAATTCTGCGCTACACACTAAGGGTTGTCACGAGTCTAAATCAACAGCACAAGGGTTTTTTACACTTGCAATTTGGAAACTACTAGTACATACCATACTAGAAGTCAGATTGGAGACCACTGCAGTTTTCTAGGAAACCAAAAGCCTGACCAAGGATTAGTAAATAAGAAAAGCCTGCCTAGCTTCCAATGCAGCACTCAGATAATACTTCCTAACAGACAAATAACTGTCCAGGACAGACAGGGAAGGAGGAAGTAAAAAGGAAGAAAAAGCAAGGACAATGAAGAAGGGAGGAAAGGAAGAAACACCTTCCAACAAATTCATTTTCTTCAATGAAAGAATCTTTTCTTTTACTTTTCCATAATTTTTGACTCATGTACTTATAACTTGTTAGTCAAATTTTTGTCTTCTAGGTTGCAACATCCCCATGATACATCTTCAAGGATATGAACATGTACAGCCAAACACGATCAATAAGAGTGCATCTAAATTCCAAAATCAATCTCCATAATAGTCTATGTGCTTCCTACTGCCAAAGGGGCCCTTTAGAGTAGTGAGAGAAGATCTTCACCCTGAAACCCACAGCGTCCCTTTTCAGCAGGAAGTAGCTAAGAGAATACGCCATCCCCTTTTCCTTATGAATCAGGGTGAAGTCTCTCTCAGGGAGGAGTGATAGGGAATGGCAAAGGACACACCGACAAAGGAGATTAATCAGAACTGACTTTGACAAGCACTGTGGCAACTGGACAATTAAAACAGACATTCGGATGGCGGGGAAGAAGAACAAACTGGGGAGGAGGGTGGAGAGAATGGTGCGGCAATGAAGGAGTGAAAGCCCAGAATCCCTGTGAATGTTCATTGAAACTAATAAAATTTAATAATAATAATTAAAAAAAAATTCATTTTCTTCAGAACAAATTTTCTAACAGTCTTTCAATTGCACTGACTTCCATCATTCATAGTCTAAACTGTCAATCTTTCTAAGATTTGGCAGTAACTGCATACAATTTTTGGTCACATACCTAAAGAAAGGTCGGTGCAACAAGAGCTTGAAGACAAAAGGAGAAGAAATCTGTAAAAAATAAAAAGCTAGTTATTTCCAGAAACTAGTTCTTTCATAGCAGAGCAGCACTGGGAACACTGTTCCTAACAATGCAAGGACTTACCTGGTAAGGCAGATTGGCGACACAAGCATCAAAGAACGGTAAATCACTTTTCAACACATCACCCACCATTACTTGAAGTTTGCTGGCTAGAGGTCTGATGATGAGAAGATAAAATTTTTAAATGAATGTTGTTTCAACAGACTGAAATGAATTTTAATTTTATAAGGTATACTTACGTGCCCTGAACTCTTTTGTGGAGTTCAGCTACTAGCCTTGGATCAAGTTCACAAGCAACTACCTAAAATTAAAAAAGTTTCTTTACATTGGAAAATGCTTGAATGCACCTATTTTAACAATGCATCTATCTAAAAAGAAAAAATATCCTTGAGATAAATGACAGAAGATTTTTCTCATAATTTACATTGTCTTTCTCAACTCTATGACCAGTAATTTTTCAATTCTATCCTTTTCTATGATTTTTGTTGTTCGGAGCCATCAAATCGAGTATGACTCACAGTGATCCTATGAATAAAGAATCTGAACCCTACTCTATCCTGCTCTATCCTCACAGTTCCTGACACACAAGAGCCCTTTGCAGCAGGCACTGTGTCAATCTGCCTGGCTGACGGTCTTCCTTTCCTTTGCTGACCCCTTCACCCTTCCCAGCACCATGTCCTTCTCCAAGAAATAACACCTCCTAGCAACATGTCCAAAGTATATTAGGCGAAGCCTCATCATTCTTGCCTCCATAGAGCACTCTGGCTGTACCCTCTCCAAGACATGTCTATTTGTTCTCTTGGCCGTCCATGGGATGTTCAGTACTCTTCTCTAATACCACAGATCAAAAGCATCAATTCTTTTTCTGCCATCCTTATTCATTGTCCAGTTCTTGGATCCGTAATAAGTGATCAGAAAAATTATGGCCCAAATCAGACACAACTTAGTCCTCAAACTGACATCATTATTCCTCAATAATTTGGAAAGGTCTCTCTGAATGCAGATTTTCTGACTGCAATGTGTCTCCTATTACCTGACTACTGGTACCAAAAGTGTTAATTGTGAAGCAAGATAATGCTGCTGACAGTTTCAATTCCCTCTCCATCCATCATGACACTGCCTATTAGTCCAGTGGTCAATGACCTTTTCTGTTAGTTCAAAGAAAAAAACACAACCTAACACAAAAAAACACAACCCAAGAGAGTAGACAACCAGATTATATAAGAATTCTACCAAAGTAATCAAGGAGCTCTGGTGGCCTAGTGATAAGAAGTTGTGCTGCAAATCTCAAATGCATGTGGTTTGAATCAACCAGCTGCTCCACAGGACAAGGACAAGCAATCTCTTCTTGTGCCTCTAAAAACCTGCTGGAGGGTCAACTACAAGTCTGATCCAAATTGACGGAACATAACAACTCAAGTAATCATCAGAATGACCATATTTTACACATTTCGTCTGGATCCATTCTTTACAGCTGAACAAATGATTTAAAAAATAAAAAAAAATAAAAAAAATAAAAAACCCCAACTGCTATGGTATGTCTGTGTAGTCAAATTTCTTACACTGGAGGGTAGAAAGCAAATGTCAATTGCTCTAATGCACTAAAAATAAAAAACTGGTTGCCAATGAATCAAAGCTGATTAAAAATTCCATGGGATGAGATTGTCCATCTTTTTGCTGCTGGTAGATTCAAACTACCAGAGAGGCATTGCCTTTGGATTTGCTGTGTAACTCCCCATGGACTAGGCCACCAGAGCTCTCCTATCAAAATCTAAAATCTATAGGATAACTAGAATACAAGGATAACTTCTCAAGTAGGTAACAAGAATCAATGGCCATACCATCTTGCAATGCATCTGATCCCATCAAGTACATGAAGAAACATGCAAATAATGATCAAAATTTTATTACATTGGCTAATGTTTTACAGATTTCAAGGATGGCATCATCTATAGATGAGATGTATGTGTTATTTACTCCATTCATCTCCAAGATTCGTTAATCATACCTTTTCCTGTAATGGACTGTAGGAAGATGCAAATCTAGTTCCCAAAGCCTGTCTCCCAGGAGGGATTGTTGCTGTTGCTGTTTGTTATGTGCCTCTGAGTCACTTGTGATTCACAGTGACCCTATGTACAAGAACTCTGAAGCCTACCCTGTCCTGAGCCAGTCTCACTGATTACGACACACCTACCCCCATTGCCCCAGTTACTGTATCAATCTAGCTTATCCGGAATCTCCCTCTCCTGTGCTGTCCGTCCACCCTTCCGAGTATGATGTCCTTCTCCAAGGACCTATCCCTCTTGGCCACATGCCCAAAGTATGTGAGCTGAAGCTTCAAAATCCTAGCCCCTCAGGAAAAACTTGGTTTGACCCTTTCCAAGACAGAACTATTCGTTTTCTTGGCAGTTCATCATGGTTACTTTGAAGACTCTTCTCCAGCACCACAACTCGATGGCATCAATTCTTCTTCTGTCATCCTTGGTCATCCAGCTCTCTGATGCATAGTAAGTAATTGCAAAAATCATGATCTGGATCAGGCTCACCTTGGTCTCTAGACAACACTTCTTTTTAGTACTTTGGAGAGGTCCCTGACAGATTTTCCCAGTGCAATACTGGTACCAAGAGTATTGATTAAGGAGCTGAGCAAGCTATAATTGTTAACAACCTCAATCTCTTCTCCATCTATCATGGTAGGGCCAATTGGCCCAGTGGTGACAATCTTTGTCTTCTTGATTTTGAGCTTCAATCCATATTGAAGACTACAGTCCTTGACCTTCCGCAGCAAGTGCTTCAGGTCCTCCTCAATTTCAGCAAGCAAGGTTGTGTTATCTGCATAACATAGGAGGGATTAGCCAATGTCTAACAACTGCACCATGCCTTGCAGTTCTGCTGCTGGCTGCATCCCGCAGCCTCTCTTCCATGGCTCCTGGTTTTGGTGCCTCTGATAAACACAGCTCTGCTCCCTTCCCCATTCAAGGATATGGACGGTGGCTGCTTGTTGCAGTTGTTAGTTCTTGGCATTATTAACCTTTACTAGACCCCATAGGGAGCACTTGGCTTAGTAGGTTAGGTGCTGGACTGCTCACTGAAAGGCTTTGTCTTCAGTAGTTAAGTCCAACAGTTGTTTCTCAGGAGAAATATGGGCAGTCACCTTCTGCTGTGATTTAAAGCCTGGGAAACTGAATGGAGAGTCACTACTGAGTAAGAACCACTTTGATGGAAAGTGCCTTTCAGTGGTTTTATTGTTTTAACTCCTCCCTCTAGCCTTATTTCCACACTATATTCACATAAGCCACATAAAGTGTGCTTCAAGGTTTTACCAAGGAATGTAACAATGGGGAAAAAAGTTCTATTTAATTAGAAGCTAAGTCAACTAAGACACAAAGAAGACACCCCTAACAGCCAGGTCTGCAGGTCTCCTGAACCTTGAATTCTGTTAACTTCAGGCTCCTTCCCATGTTCGCCAAGGCCTAAAGGCAGTAGCTGCTCTCTGCAATCACTATTCCCGGGAACCATTTTGGTTTTTTTAGTTCTCAAAAAAACATATAACCAATTTTCTATTAAATTCCCAGTGTCAAAATATGTAATGTGGTTTCTTATTGTCCCTAACTAATATATTCTGATTTTCCTAAAATTTCTACAAGAGATGAATAGTTATCAGTAAAACAATAGCAATTAACCAAGGAGTTCTGGTGGCCTGGTTGTAAGCAGCTGCACTACCAACCTAAAGCCAGGCAGTTCAAATCCATTAGCTGCTCCATGAAAGAAGAATGATCACTCTCCTCCCATATGATTTACAGCCTTTTAAAACCTACTGGAGGGTCAGCTATAGGAATTAGTTCTGACTCAACGGCACCTAACAACAATTAAAACAGAATCTGTAAGTGAGCTGAATGTACTATTCATTTTTTACATCAAAAACAATAAATTTCAATTTTACCTTTTTTGCCTTTTCAAGCAACTTTACAGTCATGTTGCCTGTTCCAGGTCCAACCTCCAAGACGACATCAGTTGGTCTCAAGGCAGCCTAAATGCAAGCACAAAGTTAGCTCTTCTGGGACATCTGAAAACTGATTTTAACTTACACTTGAATATTTTAGTTCACAAGCCCTCAAGCAATCTTTGTCTATATGTTTAGGTTTCTTGATTGTCAAAAGAACAAATAAATGTGACTAGAAGAAGTGCAACTAGAATGCAAATGCTGGGGGAGCTCTGGTGGCCTAGTGGCAAGGAGCTGCAACTACAATCCCAGAGGTCCACGGTTCGAATCCACCAGATGCTCTGCCGGGGAAGGAGGGACAATCTCCTCCTGTACCAGTCAGATCTGATTTGACGGTACAC